TTTTATTGGGTCTTAACTTTCATCTTATTTCTTTGTATTTACACAATAATTTAAAGTGTGCAGTGCTTTATGTATAGGGTATTAATGTGTTAATCTCCTTCCTCTATGAGCGGTAACTTCACTTCCCTTAGGGAATCTTTTCATTAAACATTTTCATGTATTCATGAATCCCATGTTGGGATTGATGCTGTACCCAGTTATGGAGTTGACACCATGGAAATTGAATATTTGGTAGAATTTTTCATCCTATTCACAGTCATAGTGTCTGGTTTGTGGATAGACGTGTAATCCTATCATTGTAAGTAATATGAGAGGGATCCTTGGATTTGTTTTTGTAAAGAAAAACTCCTTTTCCTCAGGATAACTATTACACTTCTCAGTGGAGACAGAGTAGAGAGGATGTATCCCCAATTGTTATCGGAAGCCTTATAGATACTAAAAGGGGAAGTATTTCTTGAGAAAAAAACCTACTCAAGGAAAGCACAGATGAGATGTAGATAAGAAATAGTCACATCATCTGAGTTTTGGATAAAGCAAAATCTGTAGATTCATCCAACCCTGTACTTTGCTTGGACTAAACCATTGGTCTCATTGATTATTTGAGTTAACTGAATCCTGAGTCCTCTGATTCTTAATGATTACCCTGTGAGGTTAATAACATTATTTTGATTGCACCAAAAAAGTAACAGCCAGAGAATTTATATGATTTTCTCAAATTTGTCCAGATGTTTTGACTTCAAGTTAAAAAGTTCTGATTATAAAAATTATCTAAAAGACTTCTCCCACCCAAACTTCGTGTTTCCATAGTCCTACTAGAAAATAGAAAATGTTTTGGCACTGACATCCAGGCTTCCCCCAAAGTAACTTCAATTTGCTTGTTTTAACACATTTCCTACAATTGTACAAGCTGTCTGTATTGTCCAGTTAGGTCCTGTCTTCACTCATATCCAAATCCTTTTCTCCCCTTCCCCATTATGCCTGTTGACTAGCATTCACTCAATCTCTGCTTTCTGTTCTCAGTGGGCAAGTTCCTGGTGGAATTGACTCTCCTATGTGAAGAGGTGTTTATTCCCTGTGGAAAGCTAAAGGGGAGGGGTGCTTCAAGTTGTGCAGTTGAGATTCCTTTTCCCCATATAGGAAAGTCTGTATAAATTGAGCATAAGTCCCCAAGGAGGATTTCTCTCAGGGCACATAATTCAATGCTATACAGTATTGTAAAATCAATTCATTGCATCATAAGTTGTATTTATGGGAGTGTTTTTAATCAAAGAGGACAAATAACTGATTAAATGGCATGAGAATAAGGGATAGTCAATAGATAAGGAACTGAAGATTCTGGTTTGGTATCTGGGTTGGCCATCTATAATTCCTCTCACTGATTATTGGAGGTATTTATCAAATAATAACTCTGTACTCAGGTAAGAAAGTCAATGGCTCTGCTTTTCATATTCACTTAAAAGTATGGGCAATAATTAGGTCTTTAAGTAGTTTGCTTGCACAAATCATCAGTTCATAGAGGTATGTAGTTGAGGGGGAAGGGGTTGAAGGTTGTCAGAAATAAGGGCAATCAAGTAGAAAACTAAAACCACAGGAGAGAGTTATTTGCTCAAGGTCATACAGAAAGTTAATGCTAAATTAACTAAACCTTGTCAGTGAATTAGCCAAATCAGCATGCATTTGGACAATATGTTAAAGGGAAGAGACGAAGCACTTGAGTTCAGTATTTTTTAATCACTCATTAAAGCAGTAATTTAGATTTGTTCCACAACCTTGCTTTGTCAGGTTCCTATGGTTTGTCTACTTTTAATAAGATACTCTAACTTTTCTTATTTTACAAACTTATTTTATAAGTTTGGAGCTGAATATCCACTTCTGTCTATTAGAAATGGTATATAAACACTTTTTCCTGACGAGTCCATTACATTAATTTTAGGAGAATTTTTGACATCCGAAATACATTATTTCAGTTAACATAGACATTTGGTTTTCATACCTCACTATGGACATAGTAAATCAACTTACCTTTTATGCTCAGCTAATATCCTACTGATCTGAACTGAAGGTATTACAGTGAAGGGTTTGGGGTCACCAGATGAGGAGGTCTTGGTGCCAGGAATGAAAAGAGTTGACACAAAGTCTGTGTTGGGGGACGGGGGGTACTGAGGAACTCTGGGAGGCACTCCTCCCACGAAGTAAACCTCAGGTCCATATTTATTATCAGAAAACAGGAAGAAGTAGACAAAAGCTGCTTGCTGGACATTAGTGCTGATTAGGGAGGACATAGACAAGGACAGATACAATGTCTCCACCTTTGTTTTTGCAAAACTGCAGACCTTCAGCACGATCTCTGCCTCCAACATCAAGAGACCTTTGGAGTCTAGAGAATCTTTACTGTAATTATTATTGCCACACCTCACACATACATTCTCCCTTGGAGGCCAGTTTTCTGCTCTGTGGCATGCACACAACTCACATGCCATTCTTGTGATTCTCCAGATCTCTCAAGCAGGAAGTGAGTTTTATGGTAAGGATCAGGGCTCAGTTTCCCCTACATTACATGTCTTCAGCTTGCTGTGGCCTTTTGTCCTCTGCTCCCTCATGTCCCAAAATGAAATTCTGCTGGCTTTCAAGGGTCAGTAGGCCTCCAATCTAGTAGTAAAGCATTGAAATACTTTGGACTCCAGCATTCAGCCTTCCTCCTTTTGCTTTTGTCCTTCTGCCTAATAACCCTCTCACCCATGAGGTCCTGTGATTATGATTTTTTTACCCTCACTCTCCATTCAGAAATAATCTTTTCCTCATTTAAATTTCTAAGACAGTTGTTACCACTAAGGTTCCTCTTAAATGGCAGCCTGAGAGTCAGGTGTTTTATTCTACTGATAAGGAGAGATCTTGAAGGTTCTGGAAGAGAGAATGATATTATTTTGACAGAGGTTTGAGGAACAGATTGAATGAGAAGATAGAAAACATGAGTAACCAGTTATGTTTCCACTTACTGGGGGGGCAGATGAAAGGGAGGAAAAGGGTCAATGATCTGGGCATTGCCGGTGGAGGTGGACTTGCTGAGGCCAGAGGGATTCCAGATTTTAAAGTCCTGTGGGCCTTGACAGTGAGTAGATTGCCGGGGATAGGGAGGGTTGATCTGGGTGATAGTGGGGAGAACTGAGGTGCTTTACCCAGAGAGGGGCTTTGGAAGAGCATTTAGAATGGGAAGAAAATGGCCAGCTCCATGTAGGACTGGCAGGCTCCAAGTGACTAGGGCAGCATGTGTGCCTCAGAAGTATCTGCCCACCACTATTTCACCCTCCCCTCAGCTTGGCCCCCATGTGGATGGAGCCTTGTAGTCTGTAGTTTTCTATCAGCAAATTAGAGAAACATCCTTGTCAGAGGATATCCAGAATTATTCTGTTGCTTCCAGCCATTCAGGTGGGGAACATGAATGCAGGAAGAGGCAGAGATTTGTCTTAGAGTTAGTGGCAGAACCAGGAGTGGAGCCCTAGTCTGGAATAGCTCCCAATTCAGTAGTATTTGCAGCCCCACAAAGGGCCCCAAATACCTACAAAAGCCAGGGATGTGGTAGGTGCACAGTCAGCATTTGCTGAGTGGCTAATGAATTAAGGAACTTCTGTGTGTGTGGGGTGGGAGGTGGGGGGGGGGAGACAGGGTTTAAACCACAGCATCAAAAGGACTCTAAATGGCCTTTTTTTTACAGCTCTGAAAACCACTTTATGTTCACAAGGATGGGTCATGGAGAACCAACATCTAAAGTTTCCCATTAAAGCAAATTTCAATATAATTAGGTCCAGCCTGACCAGCAATTGATGCTTGAAACCAACTTACTTATTCATCTAAGATAAGTCCATTTGAAATTCAACTCTTTTTGAATGTTTCTGTAACCATTTAGATGTATGATTTGTATTTTCCATCCTTAAGAAGTAATATAATGCATTTTCAACTTGACACGTATGATAAATATTCATTAAAATGTGCTTTATTGAATTATTAGCTTTAAAATTTCCTGCATATTTTTGGTATTTGTTTAATTTAAAAATCTTCATTTTAAAATTAATTTATAAATATAAAATTGAAATAAACACAGAAATGGATTCATCAGTGTAATGTACATCGGATTCTAAGTAATATAATATTTGTGTATGTTTTAAGCATAGGTTTAATTTTCAACCTACGTAGCAAAAACATTTCCAGATAACACCTACGGTTATTTTGTACTTTTTAAAACAAGATTTCTTTTTTTTTTTTTTTTATTTTTGGGGATTCATTCAGGGTACACAGAACCAGGTTACACTGATTGCTTTTGTTAGATAAAGACCCTCTTATATTGGTGTCCCACCTCCAGAAGTTGTACCACACCCCTTGACCTCCCATCTCCTCCCTCCTTCCCTTTCTCAGCTCTCCCCATCCCCCAACCCCTACTGTGTACTAGGACCTTAATTGTTGTCATATTAGAATTGAGTACATAGGATTCTTTTTTTTTTTTTTTTTGGTTTGCTCAGGGCAGCTCACTTTATTTATTTATTTTTATTTTTTTGCAGTTTTTTGGCCAGGGCTGGGTTTGAACCCACCACCTTCGGCATATGAGGCTGGTGCCCTACTCCTTTAAGACACAGGCACCACCAGTACATAGGATTCTTAAAACAAGATTTCTGAAACAAAATTCTTCAGTTCTTTATTTGTATTTTAAAGATTCACTATTACAACTTACCACCACTCTTCAAGATTGCCAACCTGTTTGTTTCTTTGTTATATATCAATACATACATGTATCAAGAGTAAAAATTTAGATTACATTTTAGTGAATATTTAAATTACTTCTTTTTTTTTTTTTGCAGTTTTTGGCTGGGGTGGCATCCTACTCCTTTGAGCCATAGGCGCCACCCTATTTAAATTACTTTTAAAAAAGAAATTGTCAACCTGAAGTTCTATTAAAATAAACCTGCCATTAAATCATCTGTCAAGAATTTTTAGACTTGAACTCAAAGCTGTGGAATTGTGATTTCATACTTTTGTCCATAGAAACAATATAAAACTCAACTATTAAAATGAAAAGGCAAAATCAGAGCTCTGTAGTTGAATTCATCCTCCTGGGCCTTTCCAATTTCCCTGAACTCCAAGGGCAGCTCTTTGAAATTTTCTTGGTTATTTACTTGGTGACCCTGATGGGAAATGCCATCATTATAGTCGTCATCTCCCTGGACAAGAGTCTCCATGTTCCCATGTACCTGTTCCTCCTGAACTTATCTGTGGTGGAAGTGAGTTTCAGTGCAGTCATCTTGCCTGAAATGCTGGTGGTCCTCTCCACGGAAAAAACTGTGATGTCTTTTGTGAGCTGTTTTGCACAGATGTATTTCATTCTTCTTTTTGGTGGGACGGAATGTTTTCTCCTGGGAGCAATGGCTTATGACCGATTTGCTGCAATTTGCCATCCTCTGAATTACCCAGTGATTATGAACAGAAGAGTTTTCATGACATTAGTAATATTCTCATGGGTCTCAGGGATCATGGTGGCTACTGTGCAGACCACATGGGTATTTAGTTTTCCTTTCTGTGGTCCCAATGAAATTAATCATCTCTTTTGTGAGACTCCTCCAGTTCTAGACCTTGCATGTGCAGACACATTTTTGTTTGAAATATATGCCTTCACAGGCACCATTTTGATTGTAATGGTCCCTTTCTTGTTGATACTCTTGTCTTACATTAGAATTCTTTTGACCATCTTGAAGATGCCATCAACCACTGGGAGGCAAAAGGCCTTTTCCACTTGTGCCTCTCATCTCACATCTGTGACCCTCTTCTATGGCACAGCCAGCATGACTTATTTGCAACCTAAATCTGGCTACTCTCCAGAAACCAAGAAACTGATGTCATTAGCTTATACTTTGCTTACTCCTCTGTTGAATCCACTTATCTACAGTTTGCGAAATAGTGAGATGAAAAGGGCATTGATGAAATTATGGCAAAAGAAAGTGTTTTTACATACAGTCTGACTGTGTTGAGAAGCTATGGGCTTTTGGATCATTGATCAACTGAATTCTATTTACACTTTATAAATGGTGCAAATAGATTGCATTATTTGGTATGATGATTTTTTTGAGAATTTTATATTTGAAAACATATCAGGGCATCCTGATATTTATTTTTTAAAAATAAGTTTTTACAACATGTCATATAACAGTTTTATCTATTCATCTATTTCTTTGTTATGAACATCCAGGTTGTTACTGGATTATTTTCATTAAGATGATGCTTCAATAAACATCTTGTTTCATATGTTCATATGTGTTGATTTCTTTATACCTGTGTGATGGATTCATTAAAGTAGGACTGATGGGATGAAGAGTATGTGTGCCTGTACATTTTAGTAGCTATTGTAGAATTACTCTTGAAAGTGATCATAGCTGCTTCAGACTGAGCTGAAGACCACCGTGCTTCACTGACAGAGTAGAGAGCATCAGGAACCAACAAGTTGAGTGATAAAATTTTTATTTCTGGAGTGAACATCTGTTCCATGAATGAGTAAAAAAAAAAAAAAAATCATCTATTCTGGGGGCCCGAAACTGGTTCTACTTTATGAACTCACACAAATTATACTCCATAAGTATTTTACAAATACCTATCCAGTGTTGGTGACCAGAGAACTACATAGGAAGCTTCCTACATTCTCACTTGCTAATATTAATTTTTTTTTTTTTTTTACTTATAGGCCACTGTTTTAGAAACTTTTGTTAAATTTCTACTGGTAGGCTAAATCCCCTCCCATACTTTGTTTATAAACAAAGTTTCTTTCCTTTGTTTTATTGTACAAAACCAATGAAATTAATTAATGGTGCCTATTTTCTATAGTCTTTATGTTACATCACTGTGTGGTCTTTCCCAGAATGAATGAAAGGAAAATACCATCTTTACCTTACTGCATAAAAGCCTGAATTGCAGTATCTATTTTTAGAAAACTTCTTTTTATTTATTACAAAAGTAATTCATATATTTTAAGTTCAAGAAGTAGATGTGTAAAATAAAAATATGAAAGTCTTTCAAAAATACCTCCACTCTCAGGTCTAACCCCATCATTCCTCGTATAAACCTAAAATATTTGATGTCCATTTATTCTTGTTTTTTGTATGCATATAAAAACATTGGCATATGTACATATAATTTATTTCATATAATGAAGAGTATACAACTGTTTTTAAATTTGTTTTTAGCTTGTTTCTAAAACTTTAGTTTTCCTTTTCTATTTTTGATTTTAGTTTTAGGACTTTTATTGTAAGGAATTTGGTGGGTATATGACAGCCAAGATTTTGGAATTTATTGAGATTTTCTTTCTGACAAAACACTTCAACAAATTTTGTAAATATTCCAAAGATGTTTTGGGATAAAATATGTAGTTAATGAGGTAAAAAGTGTTATCAAAATTTTATTATTTAAATTCTTCCACGGGTATTACTTGGTTGTCTATTTGGTCTCTCAAATTTTGAAGCAAGTGTATTAAAATATCCACATTTTGATTATTGTTACATCAGTGACATAGTTGCTTTGAATTAGAGATTGATGTTAATTGTTTCTCTTCTTTAGCACATGTCTGAAATGTTTTTTCATAGACTTATTGTTGTAATGTGATATATATATAGAAACATGTACAGGTCATGACCTACATCCTGATGTCTTCTTACAAATTGTGAAAAATATAAAATGAGGCAATCACTGACATTAATGTGAAGAACATGTCAGTCTAAAAGAAGTCCCCATTGATGTTATGAGGTAGGACTCGTAACAAATCCCTATTTAGGCAGTTTCCCCCCTCTGTGGGGTATGTGACTGGCTCATTCGTGGACCTGTAATCTCACCATGATCAATGATATGGGAGGAGTCCTTGGACTGGATTCTGTGAATGAGACCCCCTTTCCTTAGGATCACTGGTTCATTTCCCACTGCACACAGATTAGGGAGAAAGAGTCCCTAAGTGTTTTTGGAAGCCTTATTGTCATTGGGAGAGAAGAGCTGCCTTAACATCAGGACCTGCTCCAGGAAAACAGAGATAACAAGAGGAAAAGAAGAACCTTAGTCTGAGCACATTATCTGAAACTGGCCACTGACAAGCATGCAATTCATTCACCTCTGCACTCCTCTGGGACAGAGCCTGTGGTCTCCTTCATCGCTCAGGCCAGTTTAGGCTGAGTCCCCAGTCTCTTGATTCTCATATATAACCTTTGAGATTAATGTCATTCCCTTCATTTACAGAGAAATTCCTAGAGCCAGAAAGTTCAGTGATGTGCTCAAAGTTATACAAACACATCCCAATTTTTGATTATAAGTTAAAAGCTGTATGTATAAAATTAACAGTATTGACATTTGTTCTCCATTTTTTCAGGGACTCTTTATTTCTTCTCAAAAAGATAAATGTGCTGGGGTGAGGGAGCATCCAAGCTTTCTACAAAGAGGCTTTGTAGAAATATTTTATATATAAATATATATAAATATAT